TGGATTTTGATTAACGGATATCTGATGAAGCGGACAGTAGTGAGTAAAATTGTTTGCGTATGACGGATAACACAAAAGCATATATCTAAAGCAAGATGTATACAGGGTGTGTTCAAAAAAAGAGCTGACTTTTCCAATTTCGTGAGCTAAGTATTTTCGACTTTCGGATATTTTTGGTCATGTTGGTACACTTGTCGGCATTATCAGACATTTTATATATATTTTGTTTGCTTTCCACAGGTATAAAGGTAAGATGTATTTTGATGTGCTTGACAATTTTTTGCTATAAAAAAAATTAGATCGAAGAATCTGCATTAAATTATTTTGTGGACACTCCAACTCCATGGAAGAGTCCCCTTGGAGTAAATGAAAGGTTTGTAAGTCATACAAGCTAAAGGCGAAGAAAATATTGAACGATTACCAACCACTTAGGCAACCTTAACCTTGAAGCAGTGAAGAAAATTCTTATGAGGACTTGTTGGATCACTGTTAGAGAATCGATTGACTCATGCGATGCCATTTTTTCGGATGTTTTGAGCACGAAACATGTGTCAGCGAAGTTTGTTCCGATATTGATAAATTTTCACTTTTCTTGCTCGTAATTTTCTGACCAAAGCCACCGTACTTATGCCGCAGCCCTCGTATTCACTGGTCTTAAGCCTCCTGCCCCCAAAATTGAAAAGACGCATTAAAAAATGGTTTTTTGCTGCGATTAAGATCGCATTATTGGAAGAGCTCAGCCTGTATCAGTTCAGTTTCATGGAATGGAAAAAACGCAGACAAAAGTGTATTCTATACAAGGAGATTACTTTGAAGGAGACAAAATAGCTATTGATGAATAAAAAAATATTTTTTCGTTATGAACGTGTCTCGTATGTAATTATAAACCGATAAGAAGCTTAGAAGCACACCCTATAAGACCCTATATGGTTAACTTACAGTTCTTTTGTTTCTAACCTAACTAAATATATTTTTATGAAATGTCCATAAAAGGAAAGCACACTCTATACGTGGGTTTGCACTTAATATTCGGCCGCGATAGGCTTGGCTTGCACTTGTGATTACTTTTCCTGTTCTTTTTTTTTTTTTTTTTTTGATACAAGGGTTCATATAATAATATTAAATAAATATTTTTGGAATTAATTTTTATTTACAAACTAATATTTGTAAGGTGTTTTTATATTTTATTTGCTCAATTTGAAAAATCACTTAAGAACACAACCTGTCGCTGACTGTTATATAAAATAATAACTAAAAATTGTTTACGCGCAAACACAAAATTTTATTATAAAAGAGATGAAGAAGAGCTAGAAATAATACTATTAACTAACTATTAACCATAAACAGAGAATTGTTGTTTACTTATGAGAGCAATCATCGCGCTTAGGGGTCCATATAGTTTATTATCATTTATGCAAAATAAAAAACATTTTGAGATAAATTAAAAAAAAATTCACCTTTTGAATTGTGAACAAAAATATATGTATCAACAAAACAATAAACGTAATATAAAGATGTTGTAAATTAATTACAAAATTCTATGCCTTGTGTATTTATTGCTTTAATAAAATCGTATTGTATGTGAGAAAATTTGAGAAACAAACAAAAAAAAAAAATAGAAGAAAACCTCTAAAAAAAAAAAAATTCATTCTCAAGATAAGCGAGTAGATGTTTGAATTAAAAAATTTCAAGTTTATCATTGGAAAGATGTAGTAGTAGTTGGGGAAGACAAGTTTCTTGTATTTAACGAAAAATATGTTAATTATGTTAAATATCTAAAAAATTTGAGTAGGTGTTGAACCTTTTAAAATGTTGTCAGACATACCGCTAAGACAAAATTCTACACAGCTACACACACACACATATATATATCTATCTTAGAGAAAAAAATGATATGATAAGCGACACAATAACTGACATAAGATTTTCTTAAAGAATAACAGAAGACGAGGCTTTGAACTTTGCAGAATGTATGGGAAAAAATTCTTTATTTGTAAGAAATATTTTTCAATACAAACCTGACTACAAATCCTAACGTCTTACCTGTTAATTTCTCACTTTTTAATGACATAACAAATGTCCTTCGATAGTGTTTTTGTGCATTTAAAAGCACATATCGAAAGAAAACAAGTCTTGATTTCGCTCCATCGAGACGTCAATTTAATAAATATGAGACCAAAAGTGAGAGATGAAAGAAGTCAGAGAATCATCAGTGAGAAGTCATTTCGCATACAAGTATAAAATACTCGATACAGTCTTTGGCGGAGACATCTTCTAGCCCGAAAATGTTCGCGGAAGAAAAATGGCAAAGTACTCTTGAACTTGGTAGGGCATTTGTTCGATTCTACAACTGCAGACTAATAAAATGGCACGGAATTGTCAATCTGCCCAGCTACGTCCGTCCGTTCGTCTGTCTACATGCATAATATTTGTAGTAAGCATTCTCCCGGTTGCAAATTTTGGGGCTATCACCTTCAAATTTACTTGATATTGAATATGGATGGCATCGCTTATAGATCAGAAAGTTATCTTCGTTGATATAATTGTCTACATAACCCATGCTTACAGTGTAACACATAAACTGGGAACATCTCTACTTTCACCTTCTTTTACTGATTATTCATTCAACTGTGAACTAATGGATGCAAAGAGTACAAATTTTTCCTACCGTCAAGAATAACTTTTCTTTTTATTTATTTTTAATAAGAAATTAAACAAACTTTTCATAAGCTATTAAGTAATTTCAAATTCCGTAAGAGTGTACTTCTATTTTTAGTTACTAATGAAAATCATCATCCATTTCTCAAGTATATATTTTATAAGTATTTATTGTGACATCATAGCTGATATTGTTTAAGTGTTTATTAAAATTCTTTAAATACCTTTTCGGAGATATGGACATGCTTGCTTTATACCCGTTATATACTTATATAAATGGTTTGACATAATGTAAATATTTAATTGCATATTTTATTTATTGTTGTTGTTTGCTTTCCTTCTGTTCTGTTTTTCAAAGGAAATTTATTGCGATCGTTTAAGACAATCGTCAATAAAACAGCGAAAAATACAATTAACAATTGACTCTCTTCCATCTGTTTTCTATTTGCAATTCGGACAAAAAATATTTCCAATCTGGTGGGGTGTAGTCTTTCCTTCCTTTGTTGTTGTTGTTCAATTGTATCATCAAATTTTTTTATATTTTTATTGTACTTTTTATTTAAAAAAAAAAATAAAAAAAAAAAAAAATGTGTAAAGTTACAAAGCTATTTTTTTTTTTATTACGCTTATATGGTTTCTCGTTTTTTCTTTCAAAATTTTTGCCCGTCTAAGGTATTTACGATTAATAAATAAACTATTTTAGATGTTTTCTAAATCGTTTTCAACCATATATTGTTTCTTCTTGTTCTTCTTCTTCTGCTTGGTGAATGCTTTCAATATACTTTTTTTGTCAAGCTTAAATATCATTATTCAATTAATAGTAACCGCAAAGTGTGACTTTACATCATGATTTCTCTTTGCCTTAGGCATATTTTTTACGATAATGTAAATAAAAAACTTTTCATCATATCGATTGAAGTGATTGTTTTAATTGAATCGCTTAACTAACTTTGATTCAAGGAAGTGTTATACTTAATTGCCGCTGATCATGATGAGAGTGCCAGTGAGCGGGCGATTTAGCATTCACTTTCCAGAATTATATTTACAACTAAATATACGGGTCAAGGAGTCTAAACTTTGTTTGCTACATATATTGTAGCCGAGCTAAGTTGATAGCGAATGTAAGTAATTATCGAAGTTTCGTCAAGAGGGTGAGATTTATATTGATTGAGATTCGCTGCCCACGGTGGGCTGAATTATTTCCAGTATTGGTGAGTGATTAACGAATCTCTTTAGAGTTTACTATGCAAAGTCATAGTGGAATTTTAATACTGAGTTACCTTAAAGTACAACTGAATTGTGTGCTAAGGTTTCATATTTTCATACCCATCACCGAAGCATTATTCGTTTTGTCAAAACGTTCCCACAAGTATATATGTATTCTTGATCTGCATCAAATTCTGAATCGCTTTAAACACGTCCGTCTGCTCGTCTCTTGTAAAGTCTCTTGTAAACATTCTCTCCTAACGAAAGAACTTAAAAATGATTCGACTCAGGTAAAGGGCATACGTACAGCGCCCAAAGGTCTATACAAAAAAAACTGTGAATAACTTTGCTTAGCGTGTTTTTTTGGTTCTTACTCACAAAGTACGACACATACACCAAATAAATTTTTACTTTTATTCCGAAAGTGGAAAAATTCACCGGCGCCCTTCCAATATTATGAGAAGTATGAAAATGTAGTTCTTCTGGTTTTTTTTAATCTTTCTTAAGACAACGACAATGGACATAAGAGATTCGGCCACGACCCTACGTAATTTTCTTACTTGCTTAGCATTATAAGAGTCGTAAGAAAGATGCTTCTAAAGAGTCCTTAGATAATAAAAATAAATAGGATTACGTGACGTGTGATCTAAGCAATAGATAAATGTTTGATAGAGGAATTTTTATCGTTCACTCCTTAAAAGCTATTTCGGGCATAGGAGCAACACGCTTGCATTTTGCAAAGTCTAGTTATTCAGTTCAAGTGGTGGCAACATTTTCACGCATCTGAGGCCAAACACACTGATCCTTATTAAAATCTCCCGTGTAAGCACGTGTTCTCATGCTATACTCAGGACACTTTTGCAGCCAAAATTGGGTCTTACCGCTTAATACAAACTCTGTCATAAGTTTCTATAGTAACTTGCAATTGAGTTGGAATGCGTTGCTTCTGAAGCACCTTTAATGCTTATATTTCTTCTTACACCAATAAAATAGTTATTCTAAAAACCTCTCTCAATGCCCCCCTCCCAAACACATATATTCTGTATGCGGATATTTGAAGACTGCCAGATATGCGGCGTCTAATAGAAGAATCAATTTTACCTTCTGTGCCGTCTTCAATAAATATGAAACTTGTGTGGCATGCAAGAATTTGAAAAATGTTTCTTTAGACTTTATTCACAGGATAAACCAAAAAGAATGTACTAAGACTGTAATAGAAAACAAAACAAAAAGAAAAAGCGCTTGAAAAAATCCTACAATTGAATCCGTAACTATTGTATAACCGACCCAATTAAGATAATAAATACTTTTTGTATGGAAAACACAAATAGTAGATGAAAGACACCGTCTTAATCCTCTAGGGTGACATTTCGGAATAAATAGGACATGGATTCTTTGTTGTGGATGCGACGTATAGCTTCGGCAATTAATATGGAAATGTCAATCGTTTTGATTTTATGGCATTGCAATTTCTGGATCTCGTGTGGAATAGTATTGGTTACAACAACCTAAAAAAAAAATTTTATTCATTTTAAAACTGTAGATTGCAAGGCTCTTATTTTATTGGGAGCCCACCTCATCAATATGTGATTCTTCAATTAAGCGAGGAGCATCGGAGCTGAGTAGACCATGAGTGGCTAATACATAAATTTTACCCGCACCGCTTTCTTTCAAGACTTCCGCAGCAGCGACAAAGGACTGCACATCATCGATTAGATCGTCCTTGAGAAAATTTTTGTGGATAAATTTTAACAAAAGTTTTCTCTTATATGTACTTTATCTCCACATACCACCATAATAGCTATCCGTCCATTAACATCGCCCACTAAATTAATGGGTGGCTTCACTTTGGGTGGATGCTCAGGTACACCAACGGAAACACTTATAGTGCGTGTGCGACTGCTACGTTTTTAATAATGAAGTAAAAATATTTTTAAGAAATTGTTATTATTTCGCAAATTATTTTTCCTCCCATTAAAATAATTTAATTAACTATTCTTCGTTAATTTTTGCAAGAATTGGCTTTTGATGCATATCAATATATTGCATAATATATATCTATATATATATATATATTTTTTTTTTTTTTTTTTTGTTATCATAAATAAAAATATATAATTTTTTTTTTTTTTTTTTTTTTGTAAATTTTGTATACCAACCTAGAAATCGCTGGTAAGCACATTTCAACTGTATTTCCTATTAAATTGTCATACGTACTGAATAATGAATAACAGATAAAGAAAATAATTTTGTTTGCTTTTGTTTTTGCTTTCGTAATAATTAATTTAGGAAAATATTTATATGACTTTCGAAAAAAACACAACAAGCAATCGACATAACAAGCAGTGGGTATAATAAGCATTTAAGGCAACTAGCGTGGACTAAATCGTCTTCTTCACTTGTTCGCTCCGACGAAGACTCGTTAAACTATTCCTTTTTTCCCTTTTATATTCTCATATGAAAATTTGTTCTTAATCCTTTCTATATATATCAACGTCGCGCTTAATTAAAAGCTCGACTCTTATTTTGCGCATTTTAATTATTTGCTCCTACGTCTTTTGAAGTTTATTTCACTTTATTTCACTTGAGGAGTTTTACTAGCGTGTCCAAAAAATAAGACCAATTTAATATTTTGCGAAAAGCTTCACGCCATCGACACATATTCCTTGTTTACAATGTGGCACGATGGAAACAGTTCGTAGCGCACAACACCACGATAATCGAAGAAAACTGTCAACGTCATCCTGATTCTTGAACGATCTTTTGGACGATTTTTTGAGCTTGACTCAATTTTTGCACGATAATCGCTCGATTGGTCGGCTATTTTCGCGTATATCCAGTATAAAAATATTTATTCAGTGCACTAGTTACTCGGTGTTAAAATTGTGAAGCAGCTCTGAGATAATCCTTCCATATCCATATCCATACATGGGAAGCATGAGTTTATTATAACATTATCCTGAAATTTTTGGTTGCGCGAATATCTTTTTCCCTGTACCTGAAGATAGATTTCGCTCCATTTTATCTCCAAGCATTTTTAAAATTTAATATTTTTTATCCTGCGTCCTTTCTTAACTATGATTATGAATACAAATTTTTTCAATCTTTCTTCAAAAGGGAAATAAAAATCTTTCTAAATGCGAGGTTGTGCCTTATATAAAACACGTAAACAACTCGTTCGCTACCATCACACATACATAAGACAGCAACTTCTTGCTATAGCCCGACGTTTACAACATATTGTCTGCCTCCCGGATAGCGAACGAGTTAATAACTGCTGGTGGTGCGTGCAATAAATAATAAATTCGATTAAGCAAACACTTGGAGATATATTAATAAGTAGCCAAAGTGGAGTGAGTGTCTGTCCGTAAACAAATAACAAAAAGTAAAATTAAAACAAACTATCGCTTTCTTTATTAAGGGCTTACAATTTCGGCCTAAACCAGCTCATTACAAATTTTCGGATATAGAAAAAAATAATTTGTCAGCCTTTAATTTCAAGGTTACTTCTTCAAAAGTCAAAGCTTGTAAATACATTCGAAATGAATTAACTTTATTTGGTCTTAGTAACTCTGGTACCAAAGTCTATGAATTTTAATTAATTTTTCTTCAACGATAAGATAAGTCAAAAATCATGCACGAACGGGTATAACTAAAAATGGTACAGTGGAACGATCTGAAAATTTTCAACGTCATAATGCTCTACACCACTCGGGCACAAGGTGTGTGCCGACATGCACAGCGCTCCGAAGAACTTTCTTATTATACCGGTCGATTCACAAGCGCTTTGTAGCGATCGATATCAGCTTATTTATCCGTCTGTCTGTCGCAATTTTTAAGATATTTTGATGGAATTTGTGACAATATACTGACGTGTTTTCACTGAGGACTATTGAAAACTTTTTGACCACTTCCCACACATATCTGTATTTTGAAAAGTTATTATATTAACAATTATAAGATGATGTAGGGTATTTAATTATAATTTTTTACTGCTTATTTCTATAAAGTATGCGTAAGTCTTTAATATCATCTACACAGTAGCATATGTTTGCCATAAGAATAATTTAAATAATTACGTTTGGTAAAAAATTTGCCAAATCAATTACGATCTAATTAGCCTTTCTTCTATTACTTTGGAAGAAGATTTTTTAAATATTTCCAAATTGTCTAACAAATTGTGCGAGTCATGCAAGGTGGACATTAACGATTGCATAAGCAACAAGTGTATTTAAAATTATTGATTGAGGGGTGAGATTGAATCGACAGATAGATGATCCGTGTGTTATAACAAACTCGTGCGCTTTCAAATATGAACAGGAAAGCTGTCACATGCATAATTATTAAAATTTTATTCGAAAAACAAAAAACATATAAAAAAACACACTTGCTATTTTATAAAAGAATACAGCTTGAAAAAGGATTTTAAACATAAAATTTTCGGAAATTAGCTTGAACTTGCTCGAACGCAAAAGAAAATTTGAGAAAGTGGAAAACAAACAATTTTTCACGTTTACTTAATATCGCAATGGTAGCAATTACAACATAAATTTGAAAAGTTGAAATGTACTTCACTTGGAAAACAACAGCAAGAGAAAAGGTAGACAATTCAAATTATAGAAAATAAGAGAAGAGACGACTTTGTTTAGTTGTTGAGGTAACAAAAACAAGAGAAGAAGAAAATAAGTATGTAGACGGGACACGTGAAACGATGTAATAAATTTAAATAAATATAAATATTAAGAAGATGAATAAAAAAGATGAAGGCATATTTTCTTACATTGAAAAAGACATAACAACATATATATATATAATGAACAGCAACAGTGTGTGAATAATAACTTTTAGAAAAAAAACAAAAAAAAAAAAAAAATAGAAAAGTCTAACTTGAAGAAAGTACTTTTTAAAAAGAAAAAGATCACATGTAACAAATGGAGCAGACATTGAATGCAAAAAAAAAAAAAAAAAAAAAAAAAAAAATACAGAAAGTATGAAATATGTGTGTGTGTGTGTGTGTGTGTGTGTGTGTGTTTAAGAAAAGAAAATGGATTCAAAATACCTGGTAGGTGGAGGAGAGTAACGTCCGTCTACTTGATCACTTTCCGCCTCTTTCTGTTCGCCATGAATAACAGCAATGCCCAAACGCAAGCGTTCGGCATACGATGTAGCTTTCTTAGCTGATCCCGGATTACGAGCCACAATAACCGAATTACGATAATCAGGTATCTGCAAATATTTTTTTTCATGGCATAAATTATTTTAAATCGTTGCATTATTCAATAAGAACGTACGCTTTCTTGTATATATTGCAAAAGAAACGGTGAAGCTCTTAAATTATCAACAGGTATATCGAAAAAGCCTTGTATCTCCTTCTGATGCAAATCCATGGTAATTATATGTGTTAAGCCTGAAGTGCACATCATTTTAGCCAACAATTTGGTAACAATACAACCACGTTTCCTCATTTTGCATTGTTTAGAATATGGTAAATAAGGAATAACACCAACTATGGAACGTGCCGAAGACGTTTTACAAGCATAGGCCATTATTAACAACTCCATGATATTATTATTAGCATCCCTGCGTATAGAAAATATGAATATGAAAACAGATCGTTATAGAGGAATTTTTTTGTTTTTTTTTTTGTTTAAGAAAAATTCATCTTACTTGGTTCCTGTTTGTATGATGTAAATATCCTTTCCACGCACTGAATCACCGATTTCAACCATAGTTTCACGATTGGTTTTATGAAATACCGAGCAGCCAGCATTTTTAATACCCAAACGTTCGGCAACCAAATTCGCTAAATCCGGATGTGAATTACCATGAATAATAACAATATCAGAAGCGGAGGCCGAATCCATGTCGTTACGGCAGCGTTTCGGTGGTCGTACGCTACCCAACCTGGAAGATGAAAAAATTGCAATAACAGACAGACTAATATAGCATACGTCCAACAATAATAATATTCTAAGAAATTTTTGTATTAAACAAACACACTTCATTTCAAGCAAATGCTGATTAGTGAGTAAAGTGTTCGATTAGCAGCAACAATGGACATAAGCCGAACTTGCAATCTATTCAACCATTTGCAGGCAAATTTTAAAAAGCTTAGTTTATTAATTAAAATAAAAAAAATTGATATGGATTGGATTTGCTTGCACTACCACCTACACCACCTACTTATGGTACAAGGCTACATATTAAGTTTGAGCAGATGCATAGATCATCCAGAGAGGGCAGGTATAGAAGCACCTTTTATTACACTGATCGTATCAGAAAGTGACTTTTTGAATGTAAGCTGTCTGTCTGTCTGTCTGTCCGGGTGTCTATCTGCCTTATATTCAACCTATAGGTGGCAATTTTTGATACATTTTGATTTGGAAGAAATTAATTCCACACCAACCTGTTTTGGGTCAAGGACGAATGCTACTGGAAGTGTTTCGGATTGGACCACCTTTTCGATCACTTCTCATAAAATGCCGTATTTTGAAAAGTCATCATATAATTGTGTAGGGTATTTAACGGTGTATCCTGGTCCCACTATAATGTTTTTATTTGTTGTATTTATTTATTTATTTTTTTAATGCAAATTTTAAAAAGCTTTGTTTAATACCCATAGAGTAATGAATTCTGGGAAATTAATAAATGATTTTTTTTTTTTTTTTTGCATCACATTTTTACCTTCATTTTCGTAATTCAGTGAAAACTATTTACAAAATTTACGGTAAATTAATGTCATAAAAAAAAAAACAACATATAATTGCTTTTAAGTATAACGAGAAAACATTTGGCAGCAACTTTTACTGCATTCGCCATCTATAGGCGATTATAAGACGAATTTATTGGTTTATTTATGGGTTTATTGCACAACAAGTGAGTGCGCTGACCTAATAAACTAATAAATTTCATTTCTTAAAGTATTTTACACGTTTTTCTTTCAAGTAAATGCAGTTAAATGCAATTAAAAAAAACTCACGCACATAACATGACTTTGTCTGCCGCCATACATAGCGCCTGTAAAATTGTTACAATATCCAGCGCAATTCAGCGAAGAATATAGTTTTTTACTTTTTCTTCTATTCGCTCAAAATGTTAATCGTGCAATCACAAGCATTTTTTTTTTTTTTTTTTTTATAAAAAATTTCATAAAAATTACCGCAAAATGTTAAACGAGTAAAGTTTAACTATCAGAAGAAAATTCCATTCGATTACATAGCACCACCATTAAGTTTCGTATTATGAAAATATTGATCAAACATATTCGCACATGTTGTGTGTTAGCAGTTTATTGAAACTACTGGAAAAGGTTACCAGTTTGTATATGTCAGTCGCATTGAAAAAATGTCAAATATTTAAAAAGAAAATGGGAGAAAGTGTATGTGTGTTTGCTTGTGTGTGCGCGCTTGTGAATTTACTTGACTTGTAACTCCTTAAGAAATCTCATATATACAATACTTGTGTGAACAACAAATTATTTGAAAATCCATTTAATATATTTTTCAAGTAGTTACGCCTTCGCATGAATTGATCTCGTTCGATAGACTCGTAATAGAAGAAAATCAAAAAAAAAAAAAAAAAAGAGTTAAAAAAAAAAACAAAATTCTCAAGTGTTAAATTTGGCACGCAAGCATAACGATGAAAAGGTATTGTTGCTTGTGCTCCGCAAAGTGGGCAATTTTCTTTCTAACACCATAATAACCTTAAAGTGTGAAAGTTGAATAACTTTTAAAATTTCACTTTTTGGTTTTTTTTTTGATTTTTTGATTTTTTATAGCGAGAGAGTGGAAAATAGATGAATTGGAAATAAAGGCCAATGAAAATATTTTAGTGACAATACCCATGCAAAGATGGGTGATTCAGGTAGGAAAATAAATTGAAAAAAATTTATTTATTTGAAGTTTTGTGTAAATAGAAAACTTTTCTCCATCCCCCACACGCCATTTATGCTAAACGTGCACTACCAGGTTTGCATGGATGTTTGCAGCAATCTGAAGACTATTTATTATATCAATCGATTTATCGAATCATTTTCGATCGTATCGATTACAATTTTCAAAATATTTTTGATGAAATTTGGACCAGTCAGATATTTTGGTATGCGGAGAAGCGTCTCTTTCAATGAGAGGCTACTTATCAAACACACAAGTGGCAATCATATTTTGAAGTAATCATTATATGGAAATTAGTTTTCATTTCGTGATAATTCTCCATCAGAATCGTTGAAAAATAATATTGCAATGAATGTCAAATATTTGATTGGACTGTGACCATTTTTGTATCCATCACCGAAGCAGGAGCAGTATATTCATTTTGTCAAACCGTTTGCACCGCCCAGAATGAAGCTTCAGAGACCCAATTACGCTTTAAAGACACTATAAATATTTTCGATTAGCATTAAAGTCAAGCCGGTCCGTCTGTCCGTTTATGGTAAGCATTCTTTTACCAGCAAGAATGGAGTTATTGATATCATGCTTGACAGAGACATTGGAAATTCTTACACGTAGATTGGTATTGCACCAAATCGGTCAAAGAACAAGTCTATAATGCAACATAAACTGAGAAATCTTTAATTTCCGGTGTGTTTTGCCGGTTCCTCATAAATTGCCTTAGATACGCGGTAAAAATTTCTACTTTTATTCAACAAAAGTCGTTATTTATAAATAGCCACGCCCATCCATTATTATAAAGTATGAGAACTTTGCTTTTATGTCTTTTTTTATGTTCTTGTTTACGATAACTGGAATGGATCCAGAAGATTCGATGACATCCGAATATAATTTTCTAAATTTGTTGTAATATAAGAGTAGTATGTAGTGTTGTACTTTATGAGTAAGAAGCAAAACACACGAAAAGGAATGATGTTCACAATTTCTGCTGCATAGGTATGTGGGCGTTGTAGGTGTGCTCTTCGACGGGGTCCGATCATTTTCAAATTCTTGTGCAGATTAGTCAGGAGAGAACATTTACAACAGACATTACCCAGACAGAAAGACGGACATGCTTAGGTTATCCAGAACTTGATGTTGACGAAGAATATGTGATGTGAGGTCATCTCTGAAGTTTCTTTCTGAGCGTTGCAAATGTTTTGATAAAATTAATATATCCTTTCTGCTTCGCTGATGGGCATAAAAAGGTGTGATTTTTGACGAAAATATGTAAAGAAATAATTTAAACGAAATGATGTGACGTTATACGTGAGCATAGACGTGAGCAAAGCCCCTTTTTTAATTTCCTAAACGATGATTTATTATTAAGGTGAAAATAATCCGCCTAAATAGCCGAGTAGGTAGAGTCTCGACTAACAAGTCAATGGTCTTGGTTGCAAATCTCAAGCACGGCAGAGTTTTCAATGAAGCCGATAGCATTGAGATGCTAGTGCTTTAGTATTTAAGTTTTAAAATTTATTATCTGACTAAATTAATAATAATAATAATGTGGTGTAAAAAGTTTAAAGTGAGCCCATGGTAGATGCGGTCAATTTTCATAAAATTCTATTAATTGCCTTATCTTTTATATGTAGCAGCTAGAAATACTTCTAGCAGATGTTTCCAAGCGGTATGCAAACGCTATTCAGTAAGCACCTTTTCCAACGCAACAATTATTAAGATTAGAAGCTTTCTTACCCATAGGTATGGCTTACTCTTAATCAAACAGAACATTATTGTACACTTTACTCGTCTTGGAGCAACATTCAACACACAGTTTGTATGTTTCCAGTTAACGAGTTGCCAAAAGTAACACAAGCAAAGAGACACCTAGAAAGGAGCCAATAATGAAGAGAAAACCTCAATTTTGTGTACGATTCGATAACCATTTTTTTTTGCTATTAAAAATAACTTGATAACAAAACATTCAACAGACAATAGTGCGTATCCCTGGTAAACTTTTTTAATATTAACAAGGAAGGCTATGATTGCAAATTGCAATATGTTCGGTTGCTGTTCAAGTCTAAACGTTTGTTTGTCGTATTGTTCAATTTACACTTTTAAGCTAACGAACCGCAAAGTGCTTTAGAGGATAGAGGTAGAGAACGTTTAACCTTTAGATAGCATTGAAATCGTAAATTCCGAAAAGCTTCTATTTACTACTACTACTACTACTGCTATTGGTGTTCGTGGCGCAGAAATTAAAATGCAAATCCTCTTGATTGCACTCTTATACGAGTAAACCTCCTCGTTTGTGGCAAATAATGAAAGGTGATAAATGATGGCACGCATGTAAAAAAAAAATGCCATAAAGTGAAAGTTTATATTACACTGACTGAGTGCATATCATGCATAGTTGGGGGCAGTAAGGAGAGGGGTGAGGCGGAGGCCGCCTCAAAGCTGTCTTAGATTAGATAAAAACAAAAGCCAGCAAAAAGGAGTAACAGTTTTCGAGTTTTGTTTATGGGACCGGATGTAATGGAAGGAAAGAACGGTTTTCGAAAGAAAAAAAAAAAAAAAAAAAAAAGAACAAAATGTTAAATTACTTTTCAATACGAATGACTTTGATTAGGAAAAAAAAAAAAAGAGGTGGAATCAGAAAACAAGCTAAGATACAAGGTAAGCGTATTTCTAATCAATTGCTATTTGTTAGTAGAGCAGAAAACAGCACTGTACAATTGTCTTAGGAAAGAAAAACAGAACATAAGAAAACATTTAATAAAATGTTAGGTGTTGCGAAAGATCCTTTGCAGCACACCAGCATGTATGAAAGAATGGAAGAGGGTAGAGAGGAGTTTTTTTAATTAATAAAATTTATATAAATAAATTACTTCTTTAACTTTTTTTCTTCTTTTCTCCTCTGATTTTCGCAGAAAGTGAAGACAGTGACGGTGAGGGAGGTTTAGGTAATGTTTCACGTATCATTATACGACCGCCTGGGGTGAGCGGTAAAGCGAAAAGGGGACATTTATGCTTTGATGCTGCCTTCGAAACTGGCAATCTGGGAAAGGCGGAGCTAATTGGCGAATTTGAATACGATTTATATTTGCGCCCCGACACATGTAATCCTCGTTTTCGTTTCTGGTTCAATTTCACGGTCGATAATGTTAAACAAGATCAACGAGTCATCTTCAATGTGGTGAACATGAATAAAGCACGCAATTTATTCAATAATAATTTGACGCCTTTGGTAAAATCTTCTAGCCGTCCAAAATGGCAACGTTTACCTAAAAAACATGTCTACTACTATCGTTCGCCAGTACATCAAAATCATTATATATTAAGTTTTGCCTTCTCTTTTGATAAAGAAGACGATGTCTATCAGTTTGCTTTGGCACCACCATACAGTTACTCCCGACTACAATCGTACCTGAATTTCATTGAGAATCGACATCAAAACGATAAGAAATTTGTGCGCACATCATTAGCTAAAAGTTTAGTAAGTTCGCTTAACTTTTTACAATACACACATACATTAGCTTTCTTTTATACCCACCCTCCTTAAAATGGATGAAATTGTGTGTGACTTTGTGATTCCAACTTTTCAATTTCTTAACATCTATCAGGTGGATCTTGTTATTCATATATGAGATAGATTTTGTTTTTGTTTACCAAGCCTCTCAAGTCCATATATCACTGTCTATCCTAAACAGCAACGTATATATATATATTCTGTGTGTCAATTTCACAGACAACACATAAACGCTGTAGAAAGATAGATTGATCACGTTCCGAAAAGTCGTTTCAATACAGTATTGAATTTGTTTTGCATATTGATCGAGAGGAGTCTCATAAAAGTTCGCTCTCAGCCTTAGTACAAAGCATTTTAACAGAGTGGGTATTGAAAATTCGCCACAAATCCATATGCTGGCCCTTGTTTCAAAGTTTTCATATAATTTGTTGTTGTTGTTGTGGTTTTTTTTTCTTTTTTTAGCAAAATCGTAATATCGACCTGATAACCATAGATGAAATAAGTTGCAAGAGCAAGAGCTTACGTACGGAGCGCAGTTTTATACGCGTAATTGTGATATTGAGTCGATCGTATGGCAATGCCAGTCCAGCATCATACATGTGCCAAGGTTTTGTGGAATTTTTGTTAAGCACTCATAAAATAGCAAAAATATTGCGGGAAAATTTTGTATTCAAAATTGTGCCAATGGCGAATCCGGACGGAGTCTTTTTGGGTAACAATCGTTGCAATTTGATCGGTCAGGACACGAATCGTATTTGGCATGTGGCCAATGAGTATCTGCATCCAGAAATTTATGCGATTAAAAATATGCTCAAAGAAATTGATAATTCGGATGTAAGTAGTTTTGATGGCCTGAACGAACGAACGAACGAACGAACGAACGAACGAACGAACGAACAGACATGACATGATTTCTTATCTTTCTTTCTTTCTTTCTTTTGATAAAATATTTGTTTTTGTAGATCTTTCAAATCGATTTTGTCATCGACCTGCATGCTCATAACAGCTTGCATGGCTGCTTTATTTATGGCAATACTTATGAAGATGTTTATCGCTATGAAAGGCATTTAGTATTTCCCCGATTATTTGCTGCACATGTGAAAGATTTCGCTGCCAACAATATGATGTTCAATGCAGATGACAAGAAAGTTGGCAGTGCACGGCGATTCTGCTGCGAAAGATTAAGTGACACCGTAAACGCTTATACCTTGGAAATATCCCTGGGCGGTCATTATTTAAAAGACGGAAAAACTGTGGCCTTGTACACCGAAGATGGCTGTAAGTCTAAGTATAATGACAATTAATGATGAGTAAAAGATAATTTAATAATTTTTAAATAATACAATTAATTTCACAGATTATAGATGTGGTCGTAATTTGGCTCGCACTCTTTTGCACTATTATCGATTTATTAATATTTTAGCCGAACCGCTACCGGCCGATGTTCGATCGAAAAAACGACGACCTAGAACACATCAAGCTCGCTCTAGATCGCGGCAGCGTTATGAAGTGAAACCGCGGCCTAAAACTACACGTTGCTCGGCTCCGATATCTTATACGAATCTTAGCATCTGTTATGACTCGGGTGGATCGTCAGACGAGGCTTTCTCGCCTGAACGTCATTATCGTTACGCTCCGCGCAGCAGTCACTTGAGCGGTTATCGTAGCTATTATAGAAATCCATCCAGCTCTTTACTTAGTCAAGCTCAGGATCAATTCACTTTACTACGAATAAAATCGGGTAAATTTGATACTTTACATTGTGGATATAAGATCGGTAGTAAAATTCCTACGCGTTCTATACCGTTAGAACAAAATGAGCCAAAATTCGAAGTCTCAATTAATATTCCGCCAAAGCCTTATCTTTCCATTATCGATTTAAATCAATTGACGAGAGGTAGTTTAAATAAGAAATCGCATAGTTTCGAGTATTCATAGAGAAATTGATTGTTATTCATTTTTCTTCGAGATTTGAATTATTTCATCATAACATTTCATAGCAAGCAGCAACCTTTCTTCCTAAGCTACCTAAATAGTTTTTGTGTCGTGTTATCGTTAATAGCCCCCATTAAATCTTTCAACGCGCGAAATAATGAAAATACATTATTTTGACAGGCGAATAAAAACTACAAAAATAGCTAAAAATCAAATAATCAAAAATTATGAAAAAAAAGATAAATAAGAGGGGGATAGGGTAGAGTAGTGGGTATATTTTTAGGAGCACGACTTGGGCACATGATTAAAAATTTCTTCTGTATGTGTCGCGGCGATAGCCGTTATCTTAAAAAGGCTGCATATATATTTTTTTTTAAATATTTTTGAATTTCTGTGTTTGATTTCTTTTTCTTGAGAAGAGCATAGATTGGCTTTTTGAATGCTAAATTCACGAAAATCAAGAAATTTTTGATAACTCGTGACCCCTTCTACAACACATCTTCTTAAAGGTTTAATAGCTCATCGCATCGTTTTGGGAAGGATGGTATAAAATTGCTTATGCGCGGTTCAAGTCTTCTCATTTATATCTTTGCTTAGCTTTGAACTTTTCCGCTGTGCTTTGAACTTTTTAAAAATAAATGTAATGAAAATTGATTGTTTTTTGTCGCTTTATTTTTGCTTTATCATAAAAGGGGCGAAAAACAATAGAAATTGTAGTTTAAGAATAGGTTTGCGGGACCCGTTCAACTAATGGGTTTGTGCTTTCAAGCTCAACAATTATGCATAAGGAAGTAACGTATTTTTAGGGTTTAGGGTGTAGTAGTTTGTAATGCAGAAAAAGCTGCGACTGCGGAAAACATCAACAATTTTTTCACATTTTCCTCGTAAATACATTTTTGAAAAGCATTCGCCAAAACTACCTGCATAGTCGAGGCAAAAATGGTCCAATATCGGTTAAGTATTATGCGAAACATTAACTAATAAATGGTTGTGTTAGCAATTATATGCCATTTTACGCTCATTAAATTTTTTTCCCTCTGAATGCTTACGGAGCCTAAGTAAGGCCAAGAAACAAGTTATGGAAATTCTTTGTTAAAGACGCTTTGACAAAAATAATGAACGGAACGGAATCATAGATTGGAAACCGAGAAATTTGTTTTGATTTCTGCAATAAGGGACAGACTTATGCGAAACAGACAGACTTGTTGCAAGCCTGGGGCGAATGTGACAATTGTTCGCTAGGCAGTCTACGCTAAACAAGTCCGATAAATTTAAGCGTAAAGTTTTGATTGGCACGGGACTCTGCAAGCAAATATCCAATAAAAATGCCCGGCTATATTTAGGGAAAGACGAATACCGACCATTCGGGGAATGCAGCATACTCAAGCTGGTTGAACCATATTCAAATTGTGGCTAAGAATTTCTTTATAAGTATTTCCGCGTTAACTTTACTTGGTAACAGAAAAGAATTACCAAAAATTGCAATGCCTAAAAAAGAGAGTACGATTCGATATTCGACAAAACTTTGCAAATCAGATGAGTACGTTCTCACAATTTACAAATCAAAACCAAATAAAAAAGTATTATTGCTTAGTTCCATGAGCACAAAAATGTGAGAATGAAACGAAATACCAAACGTATAACTGAAACAACAAGAACACCAAATATGGACTTAATATTCTCGAACAAATGGCTAAAAAATATGCGGTAAGAGCAGGTTCTATAGATAGCCCCTTCATTTTAGATTTGGCGACTATCAATGCGTGGGAGAGACAAGGGGAGTAGACATATCTTGCAAGGATTTTCCCTTTCAATTAGCTGAAGAATTCAAAGCAACGAAATTATTTGTTTACATTTATCTCTAAGTAAATCTCTACGAAGAAGTAAATAGAACGAAGATCATTGCTAAACAAGTTTTGGATGTGAAAATGATTCCGACTGTATATTTGATATGATATACGAGAAACACTTTCCTGCTTGCTGGGAAAAAAATTTGAAAAAATCCAATTTCAACAAAGGTACTACGTATATAAATAGTTGCAACTTTTGTGTACGAATATAAAAGTATTTTAATATTGACTTAGACCATATAAACATATATATATATAAATATAGTATATAATTTTTTTTTTCGAACGTGACAGCGTTTTAAGTCCTTTTTCTCAAGTTTTTTTGATCGTTACCTTAACATACTGCGGAATACTCCTCTCCATTTTCTTTCAATGAACCACATAATCGAAAAACTGTTTCGCTTAAAATGAACTTATGAAATGATCCTCGTAATTTATTGGCATTTATTTATACAATTATAAAACGATATCACATATCGGTATATAACAATAACAAAAAAGAAATCTGAAACATTAACAAAACTAAACAGTGTTTCTTACGTGTCTTGAGACAACAAAAAAAAAAAAAAATTTGTAAAACACTTTAAAGTGGCGTTAAGACCATAAAAAAGGCATATGTATGCGTTGTTATTAAGTATGAAACACGGGCGTAAATAATTATTGAGTTGGTTAAGCTTGAGAAGCAATTAAATACAATTTAGGCAGAAAAATTGAAATTTTTTTTTTTTTTTTTTTTGCTTTAACAGATATAATTTAATTAACACCATCGTCTCTAATTGAATTAGCAATCAATATGAATTTTATAGGAAAAAGCACTACGTTTATAGATAGCACTCTGCAAGGCACAATGAGGGACGGGCAATAAATAAATTAGGCTACAATTTTCTGTATACGTTTAAATATGTAAAAAAAAAAAAAATTCCAAAAAGTAATAGCTTTACTTGTTTCGCTGCAGCAACATTTTCTTCTTCTTAATTATGATACGAATTTCTCTCCTCACAAATAATAATGATTTTTAATCCTTAATTTATTGAAAGCTGTACGTGTACAATATATATATATATATTTTCAAACACAGAGATTTGTATTTTCAACAAAACGTCTCTTCTTTATCCACGAACAGATTTTATGAAACTGAGAAATTTTCTTTAATAAAATCTTTCAATGCTTTTTGTTGCAATTCAATGGACGACTTCTCAATCGTTTCTTCCTTTGATAAAAAAAAAAACAACCAACAACGAACGTGCAAAGGTATACTTGATTTGACATTTCGTTTATCATATGCTGATATGCTGTACTTGAACAGTCTATGGTAATATTTTATATTTTCATATTTAATGGGAGTTTTTTTTTTTAAATTTGCACTTTTTTTTTTTTTTTGGGCACAATAAGTTTACCGGCATATATATAAAGGAACAATAAAAGGCATTAAAAAACTAAGGGACTCTAAGGGGTAGTTTCAATATAATTTTGTCTTAGTTAATCTTAGCAATGTCTCTATGAATATGTCAAATCGTAACGGGTAATTTAAGAGTGAAATATCAGTTGAAATTTTTCCATGCTGGGTATTCAAAATTCGTATTTAAACGCATTCAATTTGATTTCTTTAATCTTTCTTTGTTCGTAAATATCCCTCATAAAGTGAATCACGATAACTAGGTTGGAAAAAGAAATAAGATAAAATTGCACTTGGAAATGTCAAAAACTGTTGTTAGTGTTTTTGACTTGTACAGAAAAAAAATACATCTTTTTTTTAAATTTTTTTTGCATTTATTGATGTTGTTGTAATTACTTTGTTTTTATTTAACTAATATTTTGCTGAGATTGCTTGAGTTGTTTTCTAAATTTTCATTAATTAATCAAAAAATTTATTTTGATTTCTTATAATTTATTACTTTAGACAAATACTCCGCCGTTATTTCAAACTCTCTAACACTTCTTCATTAGCACGATACTAAATGCTTTTCTATTCTTTCGTTTTTCACTATTTTCGTATTTATGCATTGAGCAATGATGTCAACTTTACATTTTTTTTGCAAGTAAAGTAAATATCGCAAAATTGGATGTTTTTCTTATGACATTTTTGGAAAGAATTTATTATTAAGTTATTAAATTTGAAATCGAAATTTCATGGCTACCTATTCGGATTATTTTGGACTTGTTTCCTATATATAAAAATCTAATCATATGTGAATTGTTGTCGTAGCATAAAACAAAAGCTTCGAAATTATGAATGAATGATAGGGAGATTTAATGATACCAAAAAAAAATACTAATCGCCAACACTCTGTAATGTTGGTTTTTGTATATGCTACATTGAAAATAAATTTGTTTCCTTTGTCTTTGCTATAAATATTTCACTATTGTCTAGGGAGACTTTGCTTTCGTGTGGCTTGTGAAAAAATACTCTTTTTCACCACGCTGTAATTTGGATTTTCGTAGACACTATATAGAAAATAAATTTATTATCTTTGTCCGTTAGTATAAACATTTTCATTGTTGTCCATTAGATTATATCAGAGTGAACAGACATGTATCTACATATCCATAGCATATGCAGAGTTTTCGACATTAGATAAATATATATAGAATTTTTGACGAAAGATATATTTTTCTTTAGCTAAAACCAAATTTTCGCATTATAACGCCTAAACAAGCATTATGTGTAGTTCAAAGTCGCAATTTTAATATATACATGAACATGTACAAAAATTGAATTGAAATCGAAATCAACGAAATGTTTACATTTTTGACTGCAAAGTTAAGATTTATTAAGTCAATATAAGGTAATTAAAAAAAAATTATGGTTTACAACATATAGTAAGTAATCTATTCGTGTATGGAAAGCACGTAAATTTGATTAAAAAGCACGCTCGCGATTGTAACTTTGAATTAATAGAATGCATATCTGATAGCTTCATAAAAAAAAAAAAATTTTTACATAATTTTATCTCGTACTTTTTGCTTTTATGAATGAAGTTCTTTGTTAATAAATGAACACTTTGGCCAAATTTTTAATAGTCGTGTGAATAAAAGATTCCCTTCGGGAATAAAGTCAGCGTCAATATGCCTATGGAATAGGAAAACCTTAAAAAGCTGACTGGATATGTAGCTAGATAATATTGTTTGAACATTTTAGTATCTGTTACTTTAAAGAAAATTTGTATTTTTCGCTCTTTATGGAATTTTTGACTGAAATTGTTTTCAACTTCTACTTGTAATATGAATATGGATATAATCATTTATGTTGGGTGATCAAAACGTAGTAAGAGTACTAAGATCATCATGATGAGAAAAGAAGAAACGAAAAAGGTCATGTGGTTAACAAGAAATATTTATGTGAGCCGTATAAGCCATTTAGATGAAACTTTTGATTAAAATGAAGCAAGTAAGGACACAATAGTTGGCCAAGGACATCTATTAGACAGCCTGCACCGCTTTACTTAATACAGACATTCATCCATTTTCATACCCTGTACCACAAGTGGTGTATAGGATATAAAAAATTCCTTGTAGACCTCATTGAAAGGATAAAATTAATATAAAAAATTATATCTACTTAGACGAAAGTAAATTTTGCATTAACTACTGAAGACGCAATAAAATTAGACAATAGACATTTGCTTAGGGTGCTGCTAAGCTAAGAAAATATGTACTTCCTTGGATAGGTCTATGCGATTTAGATGGAAAAATCTAACTGTGTTTTGTTCCGAATTCTTTCGAGAATTATTATTATGTGAGATATTGGTCTGCTGGTATAGTAAACATCACTTATAGTACAAGTTTGTGTGACGATCAGAAGAACTTGAAGAGAGAGCCATCTTTTATTACACCGATCAATTCAAAATCACTTCTAGAATCGATCTAAGTTTATCTGCCCGACTCTCAGTCTTTTGTTCTTGTGTTCAAACTACTGGTCGTATTTTTTAAATATTTTGATGAGATTGGTGGTGTGTGGACGAGCGCTATTCACGATGGTCAGGCTCGGGGTTTACCTTTCGACCACTTATTTTGAAAAGTGTCTGTATGGTAGTGTGGGGTATTTAGAGTTAGACCATGATCCGCTATAATGGTTTTACATGTTACCATGTCCGTATATCCTCTGTCCTCCTCTGTCATATTTCTACTTCTTTAATAACGCTCAAGTCATGGCTTTATACAAATCGAAAGTCTTCAATACCTTCCCTACGTCTGTGTTCGCATAAGTTAAAAAAGAATTCGAGGCGACGACCACACCGCTGTTCAATACAGATTGCAAATTGAACAAAAAAAAAAAAAAAAAAAAAAAAAAAAAAAAATCTTTAGCTTTTACATAATATTTTTAAAATTTCAGCTTTAATAGTATGAAAAGTTATATATGCAGACTTGGCCGCCGAGCATAGCATGATTTAAACCAGAGAAGAAAAAGATTTTCATCATTAAAATGCACAAAAATATTTTTGAAACGAGAAACTTTTATTGTAAAAGAGATAAAGGAGAAAACCAAGAAAGAAAGAAGAGAAAACCTTTAACATAACTGAGATTTCCTAAGATTTTCAATGTTTTAGTTTTAGAGATAAATTTTCTGAAATTATTAGAGAAATGATTGCGTAGTTGGCTGGCGTCCGTTCTTCATAGCAAAACTTTTAACTGCAGTAGGAAATCTTTTGGAAAACTTGAAATGCATTTGCGAAATATATTTCCAAAAAAGTATGCAAACGTGAAAGTAAAGACAAAGACACCGTCAAAGCAGCAGCAACAGAATGCACCATTCCCGTTATATGTGTGCGCGTTGTGTGTATGTGTTGTTTGTGAAAGACGGTAGTTAATTGATTTTAATTGCCTGCTTAATGGTTCAGTGATCTTTTGGTCAAATGATTTTCGCACACACACACACACACACACACATACACACACACCCACGTACGTATTCAAGCGGTGCAGAATTTGTGTTGTATAAGTGGCACCCAGGATGTCATAACGAATGCTTGAACAACTCCTCAGGAAATAGGAAGTACGCGCAAATATACACACATGCAGTCTGGCGTTGATATAATTTCGTAAAATTATTATTTGTCTTCCTTTTGTTTTTTTTTTCTTCTTTTTCTTCTTTTTTTGTCGCACTTATTTCTTAATTCAAAAAGTTTTAGTGATGTTTTTTCCGTAGCAATTGAATTTTTCAATTTCTTTATCACCAACTTGAGATCGCGTGCGTTTTTCCGCTTATACTAATCTACAACTATTTTGTGAATATAAGTGCTGCAGCACTTACTCTGAGAAGGATATGCAACAACATCAATGCATACGACATACGACAGACTACAAATCTGAAATTCGGGCGCATAATCGGAGTTTTTTTGCTATCATATGAAAGTCAGTCTATATTTCGTTTGCAGCATATACACGTTCTTTTATACGTTACGTTGTTACGTATATAAATCCATATACAACAAACCAGTTAATGTGCAAAGTTTTGCCATTGATGCAGCTATTAAGCAGCAATGAAAATAAAATGGGAAAATTTGTGACGCTTTGGCTAAAACGGCACACACACACACACACATACACACACACACACACACATACACACACACACATACACCTCAATAACCGACCGATCACCCACCGCCACCACCCATGCAAATATACTTTACACACAGAGCAGAAGAAGAAGAAGAAGAAGAAGAGTTTTGAAAGTATTTTTCTTTTCTTTTCGTATTTTCGCTTTCTTTCATTATTTCCGTTTTTTCATGAGTAATGATGTGTGGAAATTTATATGAGACTTGGCATCAGTTTAAGTACAAAAATTACCCAAATAAAAACTAATGAAAAAAACAAAAAAAAAAAACAACAAATTTATAACATCATCAATTCATAGTAAATTGAAGCGTTTATTCATTCATCTCATCATGCTAAGTCAATTACATTATTCAGGTACACTTAACTTAACAACAATTGCAGGTTAATCTTATAGCAATTGTATGGTAATGCAATCAATGATAAGGATTATAATAGAAAATTGGAAAATTATTGCCCAAAAGATTTCTTATCTTTTTAGTCATTTTGATTTTATCGTTCAATTAATCGTTAAATTATTTTATATCATATTACTTTTATTCAGGTCTAAAATTTGTTTAAAATTTTAAGTGAACTCTAGTACAAAATAAAAATATATTAAATTATTAAGGAAAGACAAATGAAAGCATTAGAATTGGCTACGGCCTACGAACTTTAAATACTTAACGCTATTTATAACATCCTTATGTTTATACTTTAGACTCCTCGTGGAAAGCGATATAAAAAATTTGTGCGGACAGTTGTAATATCCATGAGAGGTACATGATATGCATCCGATCGATTTAG